GTTCAGAGGTTCATCAGGTATTGTGCTTCCTTCTTTAGGGTAACATATATGTGGTCATTGCTCTATGTAGTCAAAAGGAGGCCGAGGTAATACAGCCTGTCCCTCACCATTGGGATGTGTATGGATAGCATTAAGTTTGTACAGTTTGTATCCTGAATGCTCATAAAGTTTATATCTTCCCTTTGGGAAAATGTGTGTCTTACTAAAGCTTCAGTATCTAGTCACCGCTTGTTCATCCAGCCTCATCAACATATCGTTAGGTAACAGATGTATTTGTTAAAATTATTTTCATTATTAATTTATTACGTTTTTTGCCATAAGACACATGTACTCACCAGAGAGGAGGGAAACATAGATAGATATAAGTGAGAAATAACCCTCCAGGGCAGATGGTCATGCTGCAGTCCCTTCTCCTCCATTCTCCTGGGATTTGGGGTACACATGCACATGCATTCTGCATGATTTCCAAGCTGCTAGGTACAGGACTCAAACCGTGGTCAGCAATGTGGGAGTCCAGTGCCTTAACCACAAGTGGCTTAGTTAACAAAGCCCTAGGAGAAAACTTTAAGCATATATTGTTCATTCCATGTAAATTCAAATTACTTCTGATACCCTTTTCTGGTTGAGAAGAATGCGTTTGCAAAGCCAACACTGTATTTCATGTGCTTGGGCCACCTGTATCTGCTCCAGCAGATACCACGGGTGACATAGCAGCTACAATCAAAGTTACTACTTGTTTGAGCTTGCACCTCATCCTCCAGGATTCATCCAGTTGCTACATTCTAGAATGTTGATTTGGTGTAAATGTGATGAGATGGCCATCTACATTTGATCCCTAGGGTGGCAGTAAGTTTGCCATCACTCCAGGTAATGCTATTATTTATTACTTCCAGCCAGAATGAAGAGGAGGCCTGAGGATGGTCAGTTCCAGAAACTTCTGCTTGACCTTGCACATAGCCAGTGAAGCTGTTACAAGCTTAAACTGGGCCAGGACTCCTTTTATTACTCACCTCCTCCCCTACTCTAACAGAGAAGCAACAGGAACATTGAGTCTCTCAATATTAGTATTGATTTAGGCTCTAAGTACAACAGTCCTTCAAATGCCTCATATTCATCATTTCCTGAGGGTAGAATTGCCAAAGAACATGGCTGTAGGTCCCCATGAGGGAAGGATGGGAGAGGGGCAGTATCATTATCTGTACAGATGTCATAGTGCTGTAGGGTCCTTCCTCCTAGAACACAGTCACCTTTCCAGTCTGTGGACTTCAGGTCTGAAAACTGACTCAGGTCCAGAAACTGAACAAGGGGTGGTAACTTTTTATTAGGGTTACTACTCTCAGCCTATATGTCATCCACCCTTAATTTTGGCTAACAGTACAGAACAAGTAGTTTTGTTGGCTGCACATTTGTCTTACCCCTAAGGCTGATGTGTTCTGTTAACCTCTCCCTACCTCTCTGCAGGTTGGGTCTCCTTGGCTACCTTGCTAGTCATTATAACTGTGACTGCCCTGACTTTTGCCAGGCACTGCCACCTGACCATTTTTCAGTCTTATCATCCATTGCCTTCAGCAAGCTGCACTCTGAAAGATTTTTGTTTTTGATTTTTTTCCTTTCAGAGGGAGCTACCACTAAATGTTTTCATTGCTTGTGCCTTGTCATCAGTACATATCAGCATAGCCTTGTTAAATGGTGTCCATATTCCCATGGACTATAAACATCTGATGGATCCTCCAGCAGAACTTTCCATTCCTCATACCCACTCACCTCAACCTTTTAGATTCTTCCCTTACCATCTGTGTCAAAGCAATCCTGGCATTTCAACTTTGCTTAGAATGGGTCTGTTTTTCCCATGCTTCTGTAAGCTCTCCTAGCAATGAGTTCAGGATCCTAGCCTGTAACTTAAGACAGCTCTTACCCTGCTATACAGGGCCCACTGTGGGCACTATCATCACTTTCCTCCCCTTCCCCCAGTTTTCTATTCTGCTTGTTGCTTCAGCATTCTTTATAATTTTATTATTTTTTTTTTACATTTAACCACTGTACATCTTTACAGCATATAAAATGAATTTTTCCCTCTTAAATACACTGCATTATCAGTCCAAAGATATTGTCATACACATTATCAGCAATTTTCCATTTTTGTGTTAAATGTTTTGCTTTTTCTTGCTTTTATTTCCTCCCAAGTGACCACCTCCCCCAAATTGCCCACCCTTCTCCTGCACTGTCTTTAGTTTGCTATTATTATTATTAATTTCAAAAACAGTTTTTGCTTTAATGAATCAAAATTTTAAAAAGTTAAGAAAAATTTGCTCAAGACTTAAAGACAGGAAAAAGGTTAGGATTCTGTCCAAACAGTAGGTAGATACTAAAAACTCAAAAAACAAATATGGACAGAGCTAAAATCTAGTAACAATTGCACTATAGTTTCCTTCTTGTCGAAAAATTGTGAAATAATAAAAAATCAAAAAAAAAAAAAAAAAAAAAAAAAAACCCAATATGGACAGAGATAAAATCTAGTAACAAGTGGACTATTGTTTTCTTCTGAAACATTTTTGTCTTGATTCCCCCCCTTTTTACTGAGGGTCATAAAGTAACTCGTTTGCAAAAAAATAAGTGTAGTCTCAATTTGGTCTGTTATTTGCACAAAGTCCAATAACAATACTAATTTTTTTCTAGTTATTTATTATCTTAAAATTTGCTGTAGGGCACATGTGCTTACCAGAGAGAGACAGAGACAGGGAAAGTAAGAAAGCAAGCCACCAGATCTGAGACTTGAACCAGTCATGTGGCAGTCGATCATGTGAGAGTCCAGCACCTTAAAACACCATGCCACCTGCTGGTACCTAAGAATATTAATTAATTTAGTTGACTTAGCTAGAACTTTCATATGAAACTTCAGAGTAGACTCTTTAAAAAGCCACCAAAGACTACTTACTGAGCCAAGCCAGGAATTCACCCTCTGACTATGTTTAAGTACCTGTACTTGGACATTTTTGGGCCTGTCAGAAGGTGACATTCTTCACTTACCTGCCAGGTAGAACTGTGTATGGTACCAGAGAACCTTTCCAAGAGCTTCTCTTGGCTTTCTTGAGATCAACCCTAGTTCCTTAGTCATATCTTGAGTTATGACATTTTAGTCAAAGCTGTAGCAATAACCAGTGCTTTCAATGTCTGATTCAAGGCAACAGGTATTATTGAACTTGTGCAAATAACCAGACTGCCACAGAATAAGAATACTCACAAATACTTTCCAATTCTGGAGGGGTCAAGAAGGGAAAAAGTTTGTTTTAATTTCGTTTTAAAAAAACTTTTTTTCCTTCAGCATTCTGATCCCATTTTAGGCACACTCCTTTAGCTCCTCCCAGTACACACTGGCTAATTCTTACTGTCCTTTTTTTTTTTTTTTTGAGGTTTTTGCTATAGGGCGCATGCACTTGCAAAAAGACAGGGACAGAGAGGCAGAAAGTGAGAAATCACCCCCAGAGGGAATGGCCACGCCACAATCCCTTCTCCTCCTTTCTCCTCTCGGGATCTTGGGCGGGCATGCACGCACACGCGCCCGGCGTGAGTTTGACATAGGTCTGGGACTCTACGGTCGACTACATGCGAGACCAGCGACATAGCCAATACACTAACTGCTGGTCCCCTTACTGTCCTTTTGAGAGTGTTTCTTCCCACTTTATGTTCAGCACCTCTGTGTTGAGCTAACTTTAATTATAGTTAGCTAACCCTAATTTTAGCCCTGGGGATAAACTATAATAGCTTAAAGACAGGCCAAGTCCTGAAGGTGGCACACATTGCTTGGGGAAAGAAGCCCTTGCACTGTCATCCAGTTAAAGAATGGGATGGAGAGTGCTTCCCAATAACAGGAGTGGTGAGCTATGAAGACAGACTCAGAAAATTGAGGTGTCGGAGGTGTCTGGGGATGAGACATCTTCAGCAGCATCCATTCAGATGATTGCACCTTGTCTTAGGTTTTTCCCAAGCAGTGCCCTGAACTTGGCATAATAGACCTGTCTTGGTTAGCAACTGTCTTTGAAACTTATTCAGCTATTAAGTCTAGGGCTTGTTCCTTCAGTTTTCTCAGCCCTTCTGCAAGAGATGAAAAGCTTTTTCACAAGCAATCCGAGGCCCTCTGGCTTTCACACCTGGCTTCCCATTGCCTGTTATTGCCTTCAGCTGTTCATGTTTTTATAGGCTGAGAATAATTTAGCAATGGGTATCTAATTCTGTTATCCTCATAGCTACAATTTTCCCCATACATCTAAAATTCCAACCAGTTTGTCTACGGCTACACCATCCAAATTCATGATGAACTTAAGTTATCACTGGAACTTGTGCCAGTGACTATCCTACACCAACCATCCACGAGGGGATCTGAGCCGTGTACTTTTGTGTTTACCACATAATCGCTACTACCAACTTGCACAGTAGACAAAAGAAAAAAAAATTATACAGAAATATTATAATGTTTGGGACCAGCAGTTAGTGTAATGGCTATGTCGCTGGATTCCCATGTAGTCGACCGCGGTTCATGTCCCGGACCTGGTGGCTTAAAACTCATGCCAGGCACGTGTGTGTGCGTGCCCAAGATCCTGAGAGGAGAATGGATGAGAAGGGATTGCAGCGTGACCATCCCCCCTGGGGGGTGATTTCTCGCTTTCTGTCTGTCTGGCGAGCGTACTTGCCCTATAGCAAAAACCTCTTATAAAAAAAAAAAAGAAATATTATGTTTTCCAAAATAAGCTGAAAAACTGAGAATAAGGAATTAAGTATCAAAAGCACATAAGTGAAATACTAGATTTATTTAAATAGAAATGAAACTTCCTGGGTAAAATATCTGTAATAATAGGATTTGTGATATTGTATCTTTGAAAAATGGCTGGGTAGTCACTCACCTTTATCAGTACATTAGGTATAAATAATAGGTACTGTTCAAGACACATACCGTGAAGGAGAGATCAATGAGTCAATTGCTAAAGCATACATACCATAACTACTTAAGATTACATGAATATTTAATGAAAATTTAGAATATAACATGAAATTCATTCTGTGAACCTAAAAAATACAGTAATCCATTTTACTCATTACATTTTACAAAATCAGACACAGTGAATTTATAAGCAGTGTTTTTAATAAAAACTAATTTAATTACAACACATAGACTACCATCCTGTTTCTTTACCCTGTATATTATGTATCTAATTGGAAACCCTTATATTACTGAAACAGTAACAATCCAATCTGTGATACTTCCATTGCTTGGATCAATAAACACCTTACACTGAAACTCCCTTTTCTCGTGCTATCAGCCTGATTATCGGCTCCTACAAAATTGCTATGTCCCCTCCTTGCCCCTGTAAGTGTGACTAATCTTTTGTACAAGGCTAAAGATAATACTTTTGAACACCCACACACTTTTGAGTCATCACACACACACGTCCTGGCTTCTCTCACACATGGCACCAATGGGCAAGCAGCTTTCCTAATTCTCCTGTTCCTCATAGTGGGCATAACCACTGGCATAGGTCCTTCCTAAATTCAAATTAGTAAATAAATCTGATGATTCAGCATCTGAGTCCTTTCCACCTTCATCTTCTTCCTCTTCATCATCCTCTGCTTCATATTCATCCTCTTCCTCCTCATGGTAGGCAGTGTCACTGTATTTATCAGAGGAAAGGTTCTTCCAATATGCATCATACCCAGAAGCGCCATCACCCTCTTCACCTCCAGTCTGCCTGCCAAATTTTAGGGAGCGGGCTACAAAAAAACAGACATACACAAGGCACTGTATTACTGCAATTCCCTTTATCTTCATTTTCCTCTGTAATATGTAAAATTATACTAACTTCATTGGCTGCTTCTTCCTCCCAAATGAAAAAGTAGGCTATATTTTCCCAATTTTATCACATAATAAATCTATACACACACAATAATAATGTCATTTTGTTAAAACAAAACAAAATCAGATGAATAGAAGTCTGTAATGATGGGATCAGCAGATGGAGTACGTTGCTGGACTCCCATGTAGTTGAGCAAAGTTTGAGTCGTGCGCCTGGCGGCTTAAACTCATGCCAGGTGCATGTGTATGTGTGTGCTCCAAGATCCCAAGAGGAGAATGAAGGTTCATCATCCTCTGCTTCATATTCATCCTCTTCCTCCTCATGGTAGGCAGTGTCACTGTATTTATCAGAGGAAAGGTTCTTCCAATATGCATCATACCCAGAAGCGCCATCACCCTCTTCACCTCCAGTCTGCCTGCCAAATTTTAGGGAGCGGGCTACAAAAAAACAGACATACACAAGGCACTGTATTACTGCAATTCCCTTTATCTTCATTTTCCTCTGTAATATGTAAAATTATACTAACTTCATTGGCTGCTTCTTCCTCCCAAATGAAAAAGTAGGCTATATTTTCCCAATTTTATCACATAATAAATCTATACACACACAATAATAATGTCATTTTGTTAAAACAAAACAAAATCAGATGAATAGAAGTCTGTAATGATGGGATCAGCAGATGGAGTACGTTGCTGGACTCCCATGTAGTTGAGCAAAGTTTGAGTCGTGCGCCTGGCGGCTTAAACTCATGCCAGGTGCATGTGTATGTGTGTGCTCCAAGATCCCAAGAGGAGAATGAAGGAGAAAAGCCTGCGTGGGGTCCATCCATCTGGGGGATGATTTCTCACTTTCTGTCTGTCTCGCCAGTGAGCGCACACACCCCATAGCAAAAATCTCTCTAAAAAAAATTGAAATAGAACTCTCCAATGATAACAGGGCATTTTAAAAACTAAAGTATCCTATATTTGGTCAATTAAAGTATTTCCAGGGACGAGATGGTGACATGATGTTAATGCAACTAGACCCACATGGGAAAGGTCCTGGATTGGCATCTTGGGACATCCCCAAATACTCCAGAAAGGGCATACACATGCCTGTGATCCAGGCCAGCTAAGACTGGAAGAGGATCACAGCATGAAGACTCAGTTATGGGCATCTGCCTTTCTATCTCTGTTCCTCATGGAAGAAATAAATTACTAAACTTGAAAAAAAAAAAAAGTTAAGGTCACAGAACATAGCTTATTTCAGAGCCACTACATTTTTAAGACAGATATTTTACAATGCAGATACCCTAGAAAACAAAACCTTTCATTTCTTCTGCCTTCCTAGGAACACAAACTTTAATGCAGAAGATTAGGAACGTTATCAGTGTCACCTTGCTGTGCAATACCACCTCTGATTAAACAAAATACTGTTAGTCATTTAGAAATTATGATCTCATTCTGAAAAATTTGGTAAACAGTCAAATGTCTCCCTAACAAAATTGTGAGCTCTGTTACTATAAGCATGTCTGTAGCAGTCTTACTCTCTTATTAAAACATTATATAAAGACCATAAAACAATTTCCTGTATTAGTGATGTATTACATAATAAGCATAGCTACTAAAATACCACACACCTAAGAATAGCTTTGGAATGAATTTGATTCCCAAGTACTAAAGATTACCACCACTAAAATATTAAGGATATATAGCTATTCAATTATTTAACAAGGAAACTTCAGCAAAAACAGAAAAATCACTCTTTTCTTCATCTTAACATATTAGTTGTCATTAACTGAGGCAGGTACCAAATATCAAAGTGAATGTCGGTTTACTTCTTAAGTTAAATTGAAAACTTTTATCCACACATTTTCCAAGGCTATAAAATTCTACTTGCTTAATAGAATACATTGATCTTCTAAAATGAAGAAAAGACAGGAAAGGAAGAAAAAAAAGAAAAAACAGGGAAAAAAAATAAAGCTTTTCTAAGCACAAAAGCAAAATGACATCACTGGTATCTAAAAAAAGAGCCTTACTTGACATGCTAAGATCCTTGGTCTCCTGAGTTTCATGTCCACATTTAGGACAAGGAGGTTGTTTTCCTTTTTCCTGCTTAAACACCTTGCTCCTTGTGTGATCATCACAGAAACATGCCTATAAAGGAGAAGTGAGAATAAGTAAACAAATAAATACAGATTTTTGAAATATATAAAAAGACATCACTGAATATTTAAAAGAAATTTAAAGATAGAGGTTTCATTAAAGCAGAGATATTAAGAATTTTGTTGTGAATAATTGTGTTCTTGATTTCAATTTTTTTAAGGACAATTTTTGCCAGGACTCTCTGAACCTGATTCTATCATAAGAATCTGTACAGAGGATGACATGTAGATACATTTACTCATTCATAAATATTTCAGTATCACAAGGGCCCTGGTGACGTAATGGTGAACAGGCTCATGCCCTCACAGAACGTACAGTCTAAATGGAGACAGAGACAGTGGAGAGGCAAACCCAAGACACTAAGCACTGAAGTAGAAGTGCAGAGAAAAGCACAGACATGTGGTTCAGGAAAGGTATCTGGGGAAACAGGAAACCCTAGCCCAGATCTGAAGAATAGGATACAGTGTGGTAAGCAAAGATGAAAGAGTGCTTTAGACAGAGGAAACAGCACAGACAATGCCTGAAAGTTTGAGAAAGTGAACACCTTCAACAAAATGAAAGGCACTGGTACAACTAGAGCAGGGTAGGGAGAGAAAGAAGAGATTAAGGCTATGAATGTAAGAACAAGAGCAGCATTTCTGAAAGAAAATGAACTGGCTGCACCTGGTTGGGTTGGTGACTGCTGACAAATGCAAATGCCGGAGACAGTCTAAGGAAACAGCACATTATATATACCTTCCTTTTACCCTAACTCTTCTAAGCAGGTGCATTTTGACTTTCATTAAAATATGCTCCCAACACTTCAGTCAGAACGTTCTTCATAAACATAAGATATTAAAAACAGTGAGCCAGCATCCCAGAGAAATGTGCCCTAATGGCAACTCTACTGCCAGCCAACTGGATGACTCCTGGAAAGTCACTTAAAGCTTTCTCAATTTCAAACCTACAGTCTCAAAAATAAAAGGAACAATAATCGTTAAGGTCCCTTCCTGATTAATTACAACTATAAATAACCCAAGTGGAGGAGTCCAGATATGAAAAATAAAATCTAAAAAGAAAAACACGTTAAGTGTACCTTGCAACGGAGACATGAATGCTGACCAAGGCGATTGCATGAAACACCTGTGGGAGATAGATTCATCATAAAATCCTGTCAGTTACTCAGTTCTTGCATTTTTACTTTGTCTTTTATTCAATCACTAAAAGCTCTTGATTGAATTATAGCCTAATGATTCATGCTGCCTGTCTTTTGGGTTCCAATGCTATAAAACATGCAAAGCTCCTAAACTCCAAATAAAATAACTCAATTTTTGTATTATACATTCTGCTAAGGCCTAAGGCAGACTCAAAAATACTATAAATTTTTTTTCTTTTCTTTTTCTGGAGAGGTTTTTATTATAGGGCACATGCACTCACCAGAAAGACAGAGAGAGAGACAGAGAGACAAAAAGTGAGAAATTACCTCCACCACCACCACCCCCGGTGGGGGAGGGATGGCCACGCCACAATCCCTTCTCCATTCTCATCTCAGGATCTTGGGCACGTACACACAGGTGCCTGGCGTGAGTTTAAGGCATCAGGTCTGGGACTCAAGCCATGGTTGACTACATAGGAGTCCAATGACATAGCCATTATGCTAACTGCTGGTCCCAAAAATACTATACCTTTTGAGGTGACTTTTAATCTTTGTAATTTTTTTTTCATAAACTTGCAAAAATAACCTCTTTCTCTGTCTCTCTATATATAGTATGTGTGTGTTCAGGCACACACTGTGTGTGTGTATGTGTTGTTTGTATGTCATTTCGATTACTCATCACCTAATTTTATAGGTGAATACAGGAATTATCATCTCATACTATAATTATTGGGTCATTGGGAAAGCCATGATGCATTTCTGCACAGAAAAACATATCATGACTTTCCTGACAACCTAACAGAACCATATTAAAGGTAGTGAGTATCTGGGAATTTCAGTCTTTTTCCTATACTACTACTAGTTAATAAAGGTTTTCTCAGTGCCAAGTACCACACACAAATGCTTTATATGGATTCATTCAACTAACTTTTTAAGAAATAAATTAACCATAAAGATAATATTAACCTAGTTAGTAATACTGGTTTTCAACCTGAAAATCCATGAAAACTCTATATGCAGGTTAAATACAGACATGTAGCACCCACCACAGACCTTAAGATAGAATCTCCAGCGATGAGGCCTAAGCAGATGTGCTTTTTAAAATATTCCACAGGTTTTTCTCAGGTACACTCCTGAGAATCACTGGTACCAAACAGCAGGAACAAACCTGGGCAATATCACTCACATACAGACAGTTGGAAGTGGGACACAGGGTAGAAGGGTGAAGCCTCATTCTAATAACTTGAACTGGCATTTCGTACTCAAGACCAAGAATACTGTAAGTCCTGCGATGCCTAGTCAAGCCCACAAAATAAAGAACTGATGCAATCAATATGCCACTAGTGTCCCTGTGACAAATTTATTTAGAAATACGTATCCTGAATATTTTTTAGAAATAGAGAAAAGGTATTAAGTTAAATTCCAGTTCAGAGAAGGTCCCCCCCTCCAAAAAAAAAAGATTCCTTTTTCATTAACACTTAAAACTACTGAGATTCTTGGGGTATAAAGAACATCCAATGAAAACAACAACAAAAAAGAAAACTACTTACACTTAAATGTTTCTGCCTCTAAAACCTGGCAGCTGGCTTGATGTTCAAATTGATCATCTTCACAGAGAAAGTTATGGCAAAAAGAACAACTGAATATTCTGCCTCCTATTGGATTAAAAAAAAAATCCACAAATATAAGTATGATACCCTTTTAATTTAGAATACTCTTGTCTATAGAGCTACTCAGAAGAGAAGGCTCATTATTTCAGATTTATACCAAAACTGTACAGCTATTTTTGTTCTGGTAAAAACTAAAATAAAAGCTACTAAAGTATTTGAAATAGAACTATAAAAAAAATAGGCTTTCCCCTGGCTACTCATCCAATACAATGCTCAAAGAGACCACCTGCTTAGAAAACAGTGTAAGTACTATTATTGCTGCTGGTATAAATCCCTTTTCTAACTACACTGATAATCAAATAGTATCACACGTAACACTGACGGAATACTGAAAAAAACCTTTTTTTTTTTTAAGAGCTTTTTGCCACTGGGCATGTGCACTTGCCAGAGAGAAACCCAGACAGAGAGAGGGAAAGTGAAAAATCAGCCCCAGGGGGGATGGCCACACCACAGTCCCTTCTCCTCCATTCTCCTGGGATCTTAGGTATGCACTCAGCATAATTTTCAAGTCAGTGGATCCAGGACTCAAACCACAGTCAGCCATGTCAGAGTCCAGTGACATAACCATTACGGTATCTGCTGGCCTTGATGAAATCTAAAAATTACATTCAGTCCAGCCATGGAGGTATAGCATTAATACAATTCTCTGAGATGTTGAAGCGACCTGAGAAGATTCCAAGTTCATATTCCAAGTACTCCCTATACACACCAGGCAAGTGCATGCCTATGATCCTGCCTGGCTAAGGCTAGAAGTGGATCATGGCATGAAGACGCTGTTGGGAATGCCTGTCTCTGTCATGGAATAAATATTGGGTCACTGGAAAAGTCATGACGTATTTTTCTATGTTTTTCTGTGCAAAAATGCATCATGATTTTTCTGATGACTTAATAGACTTAAAAAATAATATTTAGAACATTTAGCAATCAGCCTCCATGTATAGCAAAGCTCAATGCTCATACCTAATCACTCACCATGGTCCCAAACACCTCGTTCACATTCAACACACTCAGCATCAGTAAGAGGGCAGGAACAGGCATGGGTACTGAGACATTTCCTACCATGGCAAACCCAAGCTTCACAGAAGTCACATATTGCACCCTGCAACCAAAGAACAAGAAAATTCAGTCATTGTCACTTGACTACTATAGCCACAATTTAACCACTGGCTATAATCAAAATGGTACACATTTGGCGCCAGCAGGTGGCATGGTAGTAGTTAATGGCACTGGATTCCCACATGGCCAAACGTTGTTCGAGTCCCAAACCTAATGGCTTGCTCGCCCCCTCCACTCTGTCCCTCTCTGGACAAATTAAAATAAATAAATACATAAAGTTAAATAGAATAATTTTTTAGAAAATTGGACATTTAGCAACTTATCAGCCCTCAAGATAGTGATTGGCTTCATTAAAAGAAAAAAAGATTTTATTGCCCACTCTGAGTCAAAATTAAAGAGGGTTCTTTGAAAAACGACTTTATCAACAAGTATCTGTAATACACTAAACTCTGCTATAAATTAAAAAGAAAAGCAGCAAAGAGGAAACTCTACACTTACTCTGATATTATTAAATCAGAGAGCTGGAAGCATTATCTTCAGAATGAATCCTAATACAAAGTTTGGGGCCCACAGTTTAAGCTTTTTTCCTGTCTATAGCAACTCCTGTAACTAAATTGAACTTTTAAATACTACCAGCTCTAATATTTTAAAATTAATTCTTACTGAAAATAATCGCACATCTTCTGTAGAGTAACTAAGAATGTTAAACTTCTGCCAGTTTCTTTTTTCTGTTAAAGTAACTTAAGCTGTAAGTCATTATATAATTTGTTTGGGAAAAAAAATTCAAGACATATGAAACTAAATGACAGGGTAAGATTCTCCAATTCTTTTATTAAGACATGAAGAATCTGTTCATAACACATTGATATCTACAGAATATTAAGAGTGACAAAGAATCTTAAGGGAATAAGTAAGGCTTGACTATCTTTCCTTTACACATGAGAAACACAAGGCCAGAGACTAAATCCACATCCCACAGTTAAGATTACAGTTGAGCTGAGATGCAAATTCAGGCCTTCTGAATTACAATTCAGTATTCTGTTCAGGGCTCTGTTACAAAAGTAATGACAAGCAGGAAGAAAGTTTCTGACTTATAAAAATGGATTATCAGCATAGCTACTAAAACCTCAGATCTCTCTTTGGATCACTCATGGTTCTAGCAAGAAAGAAATGGTACTATCAAAGTAGGTAACCAAGAGCATTTAAGAAGAGAGATTACAAAGGACAGGGAAGGGCTTAGGATGATAAAGCTGATGCTCGTACCATCCCTTAGCATTCCAAAATATGAGAAAACAAGGGGAGGGGAGGGAACAGTTACTACAATATGGAGAGAAAGTCTATGGAGAGGACCACCTGGCCATAGGGCAGAAACTTTTTTTGGAGAAAGGACATAACCAAACCAGGATGGCATAGCAGGAACTGAGCCAAGGGAAAATATCCAAATATAAATCAATTTAAATATCTCCTTTTTTAAAAAAGAATTATTTCATTTTATTTGTTATTATAATTTTTTAATTTGACGAGAGAGAGAGAAAAGGAAAGTGAAAAGTGAGCCAGCAGGTCCGGGATTCAAACCATGGTCAGCCAAGTGGGAGTCCCACATCTTAACCACCATGTCACCTGCCAGCCCTAAATATCTTTTGTATAAGAGAGATAATTCACATTTATATAACGCAGGAAATTTAAGAAAAAAGAATTTGATAAATTTATGTCAACAGCTACAAAGGAAGACTTCAAGGGTTTTCAATAAAAATAACACTGACAATCCTATATTTAAAATAAGGAAGAATTGAAAAGATGATTATGAATAATTCTGGCTCTTCACTTCAATAAAATATGCACACATGAAATGTGTCATATCTAGGTCTGCCTTATGATAAAAAATGATACGTTCTTGGAAAGTTACCATAAATAAAATATTCCACTTGACACAAAAGTAGTATTACTTTCTTCTTGGACTAATAAAATTTGGATCTAAAACATAAGTTCACACTATAGAGTACAGTAAAGCTGGCTAACTCATAATGTAAAAAGAAAAAAATAATTTAATGAAAAAGAGAAAATGCATCACATAATTCAACTGTTTACTATTTAAAACACTGAATTTATTTAGGAAATCTTACATGTAATAAAGAAATGTTAAGTACATACATTTCTATGAAATGTAAAGCGTTTAATAAACAAACTATAGAGGCCAACAGGTGGTGTGGTGGTTGAGGCACTAGACTCCCCAACCACCAGCCGACTGCAGTTTGAGTACCAGACCTGGTGGCTTACTTTCTCACTTTCCCTTTCTCTCTAGCTCTCTCTGGTGAGTGTCCATGCCTTATAGCAAATTAAAAATAATGCTGCTGATGATGATAAATAAAATTAAATAATTCTTTTAAAAAAATACCTATAATTCTAGATTCTTTTGGAAATAGGTTGTTTATTTAACTAAAGGCAAACACTATTTAAGCAGGGCTTTCAGTAAATTATGTTTTATGAAGTCTAATTAAGATGAATTAGATCTCCAAACAAAAAAAAGGAAGAAAGAAGGACCAGCAGTTGATGTAATGGCTATGTCGCTTAACTCCCATGTAGTAGACTGCGGTTCGAGTCCTGGACCCCGTGGCTTAAACTCATACCGAGAGCATGCGCATGCCCAAGATCCCAAGAGGAGAATGGAAGAGAAGGGATTGCGGCATGCCCATCCCCCCTGGGGGATGATTTCTAGCTTTCTGTCTCTCTGTCTTTCTAGCAAGCGTACGCGCCCTATAGCTAAAACCTGTTCAAAAAAAAAAAAGATGAATTAGAAAGATACCATTAAGAAATGAATTTGTTTGGGTCAACCTGAAATAAGTTTCCATTATTATCACATTTTCAATATGAAAGCAACAGCTAGAAACAAGTGGGTAATAAGGGAAAATCATACAAAGAACATGCCACAGATAATCCAGATAACTACAGATTGGTTGAAAGAAGGGACAGAGTACATTTATTAAAGGGAGACAAAAAAAACCCACTGATCAGAATGACTTTTTCTTATCCTTTGAAGCCTGCTAGTCTAAAGGATGATGACAAGATGCTTACCACCATTGCAAGGCCAGTACTGTAGACTCCAGCATGCTTTATGACACAGTCAGAAGACTTCATCATACACTTGGTTTTCCCTTTAAAGAGAAAAATTTGCAAGTTCACTCTTGCAAAGTAGTATATACACAGGAATTTCAAAATGCTCATGCAAAATTTATACTATGAAATAACTATGCCTGGATTTCAAATATTTTGCATCAAAATAAATTTGAATTTTAGTTCCATTTTTCCACACCTTTGAACAGTCCCCTCATAAAAGGATTTTTTTTTTGAGAGGTTTTTCACAATAGGGCGTGTACACTCGCCAGACAGAGAGACAGAAAGCGAGAAATCACCCCCCAGAGGGGATGGCCACCCCGCAATCCCTTCTCCTCCATTCTCCTCTCGGGATCTTGGGCACACACGCACACGCGCCCGGCGTGGGTTTTAAGCCACCGGGTCCGGGACACGAACCGCAGTCAACTACATGGGAGTCCAGCGAAATAGCCATTACGCTAACTGCCGGTTCCCTCCTTGTACAAGTTTTAATATTCCTCTTTATATCGAGCTCAATTTCCTATGGAGATAATTTAAAAACAGGTAGGATGAAATCAGTATTGTTTACTACTTACACAACTGAAAAGAGAACACAGATATAACTGAGATAGCATTACCAAGTCAGATCTTTGGAGATGAGAAATAAACCTGCAAAAACTGTATTATACAATAATTTATATGCTAGTTCATGTTTGTATGAAAATCAGAAATTACAAGTTATGCTTTATAATTTAATAACCACTTTAACAATTTAAAATCTTAAGAAAAAAAATTTTTCAGGTTTTTGCCTTAGGACATGTGTGCTCACTGGAGACAGAGGCATTGAGAGGGAAAGTGAGAACTCACCCTCTAGGACAGTGGCCACACTGCAATCCCTTTTCCTCCATTCTCCTCCCAGGATGTTGGGTAGGTGCACACACACACACACACCAGCATGATTTTCAAGCCACCAGGTCCAGGACTCAAACCATGGAACCATGGTTGTCCATGTGGGAGTCCAGTGAAATAACTGCTATGCTATCTGCTGGCCCCCAAATCTTATAAATTGTTAAAAGAATCAAAACAAGTTTTAAAAAAAGCCATTCTGGGACCAGCAGTTAGTGTAATGGCTATGTTGCTGGACTCCCATGTAGTCAACCGTGGTTCTAGTCCCAGACTTGGTGGCTTAAACTCACGCCAGGCACGTGTGCATGCATGCCCAAGATCCCGAGAAGAGAATGGAGGAGAAGGGATTGCTGTGTGGCCATTCCCCCCGGGGAGGGGCGGGGGGGGGGTTCTTGCTTCCTGTCTCTCTGTCAAGCACATGCACCCTATAGCAAAAACCTTTCCAGAAAAAAAAAAAAAAAAAACCATGCTTTAAATTTTTTTTTTTTTTTCTTTTTAAAGAAAGGGTCTTACCCTGTTGCAGTGCCCTGCCCAGCTCCCAGCTGAGACTAGTGGTACACAACCATACCCAGCCCTTTTTCAGACAGGGTCTCGTTACCTTTGCTATGCCAGCCTCATACTTGTGGCCCTCCTGAGTCAGGACTGCAGGCACATGCCACTGCACCTGGCCTTTGTGCTGGCCCAGGAATCAAACCTAGGTCTCTCATGTAGTCCCAGCCTGCAGAGCAAGGCATCTTAGCACCACTTGCTTTAGGAGCTGGTCCAAACTGTACATTTTATAATTCACAATAAAAACAGTCTGGTTTGAAATTACCACTTTTTTCTTTCCATGGAATACCTCAAACTAAGCCAAACCAAACAATGATTAAGCATTTATCAAACACAGCTCCTAGGCAGACATTTTTCCAAAGAAATTTTGAGAGTGTTTCAGAAATCATGAAAAGCAAGAGTAAGTCATAGAGCTAAAATTCACAAGGAAGTCATAAAAGCTCTGATCTAGCAGCCAGTTACCAACCCAAAACAATCAGCTTATCAGATACTGTGTGAGGATTAACAACTGCAGTCATTATCAATCTGAGACTCCACAAGGTACAACACAAGACACAGAAGATGGTCAATTTTCAATGATCTTGATTTCCTGATGAACAAAGTTAGACAACAGGAGATGCTAGCAACCAAAAACTGGAAATGAGAGGCTCAAGCTACCCAAGTGTCTCAAGTGTAGTGCGAAGTTTAAGAATCAATAATGTGAAACATCTCCATGTGCAGCACTACAAAATTTAAGCTCAGAGTCAACAAAAACAGACAGGTCTTAATAAGAACTTCTCTCTCTTTTTTTAAAGAATTATTTATTTAATTTTCTTTATTCATTCATTTTTTAATCTCTTAAATCTTCCACAAAAGTGGTGTTCTTACTCTGCGTTCATATCCTTTTATAAAATGCAGATATAACTGGCAGATGAATGTTTCATTTAGGCCAGTTTTTTCACACCAATTGCAGCATTGATATGTCTTCTTTAAAGGCTATAACTATTGGGTCATCAGGAAACTCATGACACATTTTTGCATAGAAAACAAAGAAAAATATGTCATGACTTTCCCACCAAGCTAATACTGTAGAAATAAACTTCAAAAAACTTTTTAAAATACCAAATGGAGGGCCAGCAGATGGTGTAGCAGTTATGTCATTGGACTTCCACATGACCTGGACCCTGTGGCTTGAAACTCATACCAGGCACATATGTGTGCAATCCCAATATCCCAGTAGAAAAAGGGATTGTGGTGTGGCCACCTGCCCCCCGCAGGGTGATTTCTTACTTTCCCTCTCACTGTTTCTGTCTCTCTGGCTAACACATACACCATAAGGCAAAAACCTCTACCAAAAAAAAGAAAAAGGAAAGAAAAAAAATATATATACTGAATGAACAAGACTAAGGTGGTATAATTAAAAACCGGGATCATCAGATGTTATGTCAGAGATTTTTTAACATCTAAAACAAACTTAAGTAATCTGTATATCTAAACTGTACATTTTCCAGTATAATACCAAAAAAGGCAAAGACAAGATCTCATGTAGGCCAAAAAACATTTTGTGCCTTTTTTTTAGTGGCGAGACATAACATTATGGGAAGTTAATAATGACAAACACACAGGTTCAAATTAATTAGCTGCTATACAAATGTTTAATAAAAGAAAAGGCATGTGTCTATAATGATCACATACTTACCACACTGTGCACAAATTGGTAACTTCTGTACAGAATTACAAAAATAACAAAATGCTCTATTCTTCTGTCGCCTTGTCATGTAAAATAAAAATTTTAAATATAGTTAGTATTAAATAAAAGGTCAGAGGGACTATATTTACATATAAATAGAACAAAAGAATAAATAAAATTTACCTCTGACACTTGTCACATTCCTGTAAAATGTAAGAAAATAAAATTAATTTTTCTGACTGATAACTGCAAATTTATTTGCATTAAAAAGAATATTCAAACCCTCCATACAAACCCATAAATATAAACATTTAAGCATACTTAAATAACAAATATTTACAATAAAGGAATATTCTGCAAAGACCACTAAAAGAAGTAGCATTATCCTAAAGACTAAATATCAAGATGATTTGTTTTTCTTTTTTCTAAAGGAATCAAATACTCAAGAATAAATCCCAAAAAGTAGAGATGACAAAGTAATAAAGCTGACAGAAAATCCAGATTCCTAAACATGGCTTTAAAAGCTCTCCACAATCTTGACTCTAACCACTTTTCAAACCTTGCTAGCCTATTTAGATTCCAGTCACTACTGGTCAGCCAATTTCCAAATCTGTCTTACACTCTTCATGCCTTTACATATAACATTACTTTCCCCTGAAAAGTTCCCCACGAACAATCTTTACCTTTTGGAAGGTTCTGTGATAATCCCATCTCCTCTATAAACTACACTACCCCATATACACTAAACTTTATTACCTCTTTGTCCTAATAAATAACTGTTTACTGAAGCACGTACCAAAACTTAGCTGACATTATATGTATTTACATATGCCTGTGATTGTTTTGCCCAGCACCTCCTCTTCTCTGAAAGGAACCTTGACACAGAAGGGAGTCCCCACTGTCACATCTATGCTGTGTAATCCCACCTTCCTGCAACCCATAAACATTAGTCCTGGGATGGGTATGGACTCATGCCCAACCTGTCAGAGTTCTTTCCATCTGAGGGCAACAGTGTGTGACATAAGACATGCAGTTACTAACAACTAGAAAGCCAAACAAATGGAGTGAGATACTCTGGGAAAGTGGAAATAATTAGCAAAAAAATGAAATAAAATAAAAGCAAAGATGGAACTACAAGTTATTTCAGGTTCCAGTTGTCCAAGTCCCAGCTATCTCCATCTCCTTAAAAGATACATGAGTTATTTCACTACCCCTTTAATAAAC